AACCTCAATGGGTTATTTAATGCTGACAATTTTTATTGCTGGTAATTTTTTTTCCCTTCAAAAATCTATTTCTGGTAATATTTTTTCTTCAAAATGTTTATCAGTGGTATTTTTTTTTTTTTTTTTTTTTTTTACACACAAAGTATTTCTGGTATTAACACCTATTTTTACACTTTTATAGTGTTTTGACCCCTGTTTGGTGGTTAACTATTTGCCCATAGCTGTGTCCCTAACAGGTGCTACCACACTGGATCAGGGTGGACCTGGGAACACCAGCAATTAAGTCATAGTTCCACACTTTCCATAGTTCGTCACACCCAGGACGCAGACGCAGCTCATCGTCGGACGCAGACGCAGCTCATCGGACGCAGGACGCAGCTCATCGACGCCAGGACGGACGCCGGAGGACGCAGCTCTCGTCGGACGGGATCGTCGCTCATCGTCGGACGCAGGACGCAGCTCATCGTCGGACGCAGGACGCAGCTCATCGTCGGACGCAGGACGCAGCTCATCGTCACACCCAGGACGCAGACGCAGCTCATCGTCACACCCAGGACGCAGACGCAGCTTATCGTCACACCCAGGATAGTCGAATTCCAGTTGAGTTAGTTACATTCACTTATGTGCAAATACTCTTGGGAAAGGTATGAATCCATCTATTTTCCTCCCAGCTATGGGTTAAATAACAGGATAGCCTGGGTCCAGTCTTGGTTGGCAACCAGTCTACCACAAAAGGAAACAGCAACCTACTATGGGAAAATCTTGTTTAGTCAATCATTAATCAAAAAAGACATGATTACCCAAGTGTGTATTACGTATGGCACTGACTAACTGAATAGTTTATTAATATTTATTTTATGACTGTGTGAAGAAAGTGACGCTCATAGATTTTGCTATTGATTTTTTTTTTAGTAGCCCAATAAAAGAAATCCCCTGAAATTTTGGTCTCAATAAAATTCAAACTCATAAGTAGCCCTTCTTGGGTGGGGTGATTTTTTTTTTGCATAAGTGATGAAATTTCAACCTGATGTTTTTTGGTAAGTTTCATTAATAGTCTGTCATGTATTATTAATTAAAACAAGTAATGCCACAACTAAATTTATAATGGTATTAATAATGTACACAAAGTGTTTTTTTTTTTTTTAAAAAACAAGAAAAGTGATTTATAAAAAAAGTGGGGTTGGGTTTAAGTTTTTTTGTTTTTTTTTAAGGGCTTTTGTAAGCTTTTCTATTTAATATTAATAATTTAAATTAATATAATTTTAAAGGATTTAAAATCTATATTGTAATTATAAAAAAAATTGTTTTAAGACAATGGCGTCCATAATATATCTTACTTAATTAGAAAAGCTTTTGCTTTTATGACTAAGGTTTTTTAGCTTTAATTATTTTACAATTCAGAACAGATTTTCTGTACATGTAACGTTTTTTTACAAAAAAAAAAAAAAAAAAAAAAAAAAAGCTTTACATTTCTAACTAGCATAAAACTACTGAACCATTAAAAATGGATTTCATAAAATTAGGTACCTCGACAAAAACGTGATAATGTTCAAAATGAATTTTTAATAATGAAAAATCTTTCTTGAAGCTTTTTTTCTTGGTTCTGATAGATCAAAAAGCAAAAATGCTATATTTCAAAACTAATTCAATTTGATTTGATTGAAAGGAGCTTTTGTTTTGAAATTTCTATGCCATTTTTAGCAAACGGCTATATAAAAATGTAAATCTCTATTAAAAATCTTCCAAAAATAAAATATATTTTTATGAAAGTTTGAAGAATATTAGCTTATTTGAAGTATAATCTGATTTCAAACAAATATGATTTACTTTATTGCGGAAATGAATTTTTAGCATGGGAGCTGTTTATTCATGTTGACAGCTCATTGACAAATTTTTATGTAGTGTTCTATGAGGGAGGGGGTTAATCCGAGAAAAAATTATTTGAGGATTATAACTTAAGTGCCTTTAAGTAATAATCAGTAATCTTAAAAATTTAAGGAAATACTTCCTGTAATCTAGGGTTTTATTGAATTTTAGAAAATTTTTGCGTTCTTATTTTCTGATAATGTCATAATATGGGCGACCGTATCTACAAAATTTAAAAGAATTTTGCATGCGTAAACGGTTTCTTTACATACACATAAAATTCTTTTAAAAATAATCAGGTTATTTATTGTAATAATTTTTATATATGATTAGTAAATATGGTTTTAATAACTACTAATTGAATTTTAAGAATTTTTTCTTAAATTATAAATTATTCGAGGTAAAGTAGTAAAAAAGAAAAAAATTTTTTATGACAATTTTGTCATTTTTCATAAAAGAAATTAAAAGGTTCTGTAATTAAATAATATCTTTTATTGCGTTGTTTATTTTATGATTCAGAGCAGATTTTCGAAGAAAATATGATTTAAAAAAAAAAAAATTCTCCAAAGCGTTCTGCTTTTTAAGTCACTCTGTAAAAAAAATTATCTCGAGTTTCTAGAGTTTTCATAAAATTAAGTGGTGTGGAAACATGTTTTCGGTTTTTTCCTACTAAAACAATCCATTTGTGAAGAAGTCCTGAAAGTTTCATTAAAAATCCTACAATTGTTTTTGTTTTTTTTTGCAAGAATTTCCAAGAAGCGTATCTTTCACCGGAAAAAGAGACGATAAAATTTATTTGCTGAATCCATTATTCACTGACGCAAGAAAAACAAAATTTTTAATCAAAATTTCGAATGTTTTAAAATTTAAAAAGAATTAAAAAATTTAATATTAAAAAAATACTTTGATCTTTCCTTTTAATAATAAAAAAAGGATTTAAATTTTCGACGATAAAACTGTTTTCATTAAGTTTGGAGCATTTTTTTTCACCACGGTAAAGCTAATTTTTTCGCGATTTTGTGGGGGTTCGAACAGATGTAAGAGAAAAATTTTTTTTTCACTAGGATTTTCTAAAAGTGAAACTTTTCTAAAATATTTTTCATTCATTTGTGAAGTCCTGAAAGTTTTATTTTATTAAAATCCGACAATCATCTGATTTTTGCAAGAATATGCAAATCAACGTGCTTTTCACCGGAAAAAGACTCAAGTGGTCACCTGCAGATGAAATCAAAGCAATAAGAAAAATTTCAAAGGGTTCTAAAGGACTTTAAAAGTTTTTAAAATTTTTTAAATAAATTAATAAAATTTTTAATAAATTAAAAAAAATTTTAATAAATTAAAAAAAAAAAAATCCTTTACTCTTTCCTCAAAGATTGATTTTTGATGATAAAACTGTTTTAAAGTTTGGGGACATTTTTTTCATCATGTATGTTCATTTTTTAGCGAGTCTTTGACGGTACTTATAATTTTTAAGTTTAGCGTTTCAAATGACTTACATTAGAAACTATTTACCTCCCTTACATTCCCCTTATTTTTTCTTATATTTCGAGCCTTCTCTTGAATTTCAACAAGAGAAAAAAAAATCTTAGTTAAAACACACACACACACACACAAGAAGACTAAGTAAGAAGAGAAAATGTTTTGACTGGGAGGCGTACACGGTACACCCCTTTAAAAATGGATTAAAATTGGCTTTTTAGTTTGGAAAGCTCTTGCAATTTTTATATTTTATTTGATAGCTCCAAACAATTTAAAAAGCCAAATTACTCCCAGACGGTTCAGAAGGATAATTGGAAAAAGTAAATTCATTTGAAGCGCTAAACTTAATTCCCATATTCCTTAGGTCTTCCTTAATCAGCTTAAAAAAATAGTAACAACAAAAAATAAAAAATGCAGGTGTAAAAATTTCACGAAATAAAAAAACTGTTGCTGACCTACAAACAATTAAAAAAATGTTTTATATTAAATTTTAAAAAAAGCATAAAATAAAATTTAAAAACCACCTTTCCTTAATTTGGCGTTACAAACTCCAAAAAGAATAAGAAATTAGATAAAACTAAAAGTAGTGTTTTTCCGTTAGGTGGGTTTGATAATACTTTTGCTTTTCTAATCAGTTCATTTTTATTTTTCATTTTTTAAAGTTATCTCAGTAGTGTGTAGTGTAACCTAGAAAATGGGGAAAAAAGACAAAAAGAGTTTCAAAAGAAAAAATTGAAGCTAACTAAAATGCTGAAAAGAGCACAAACATAAGGATTCGATAAGTCGACAAAATAGTGTACGTTTCAAATCTTGTTTTAATTATATTCCTAATTAATTAATAATAATATCTGCAAAAAAAATATTGAGCAAAGAGGCAGGGGTACGATCACGAAGTGAGAGATTTCACAAGGTTTATGCTTGAGCTTTAAGTCTTGACGTACTCTTCAAAATTATTTAAAGAGTTATATAAGGTGCTTTCAAGCAGAAAAAAAGATCTTGTAACAGTTTAAAAGGAACATTAACCTTTAAGCCCATTAATTAACTCATTTGTTTAAATAAACGAAGTTCATCCATTCCGCCCCCTTTTTCGTAAAAGATATTTTTACACTTTTTTTAATCCGATGTCAAGAGAGAAAAGGTTTTATTATTTTTCTTATTAAAGTTTAAAAGAGATAACGTTTAAGTGGACATATGCTTTCCATTATATATACATGTATATATAATAAGACAAAGGGCGTAACTTTTATAATAATCTAGAGAATCCATCCTCCGGAAGGCAATAAGGAAGTGAAAATAAAAGAAAAAAATACGAGAAATCACTTCAATTATCGATCCCCCACTTTGTGACCAGACTGTTTAAAAGCGTATACGAAGAAACCTAAGGTTTTTTTTTTCTTCATTATTATTGTTATTTTAATACCATAAAAAGAACTTCCTTTGAACAGAGTAAAAGAAACCACAGACGTAATCTCTAGAAGTTACACAAAGTCTTACTGTTTTAAGCGATTGCCCAGTCTTTTATAAGGGGAAGAACTAGAAAAAAATTTAAGCAAGTCTCAACAGAGATTCACAAATCGCTGCTCCTGCTACTAAAGTCAATTGAGTGAGCGAGACACACAGGACTAAGCAAAGGGATTTTATCTAGAATTACTTACCCGCATACGCACTTCATAGTCGGTATATCGTTTCTTGCCGACTCCATGAGTTTGGGGGTTACAAACATCTATCTCTAAGAAGTTGGCAGGCGGAGAATAAGCATCTTCTAAAGTTTGTTTTTTTGGCTGAATGCGAGCAGTGGCAGCACTCATTCTGGCTGACAGAACTCCTACTGCTCAAGTTCTGATGACGTAATCAGTTTTTGATTACTCAAGAACCATAACTCTGACTAACACCAAGCATTTATGTACTTGGTGCGGGCATCGCCTTCGCTTTTCGAAAGTTCGCTTTACGCCACTTTCGCTTATGAAAGGCATAATTGCTTTCGCTAACCGAAAAAAAAATCGAAGAGAATTTTTGCATTTACGAAAAAACAAACAAAGCAAAACAAAAAAAAAACCCTCAAAAAGCGAAAATAGCGTTCAGCGTTTGTTTTGCAGCAAATCGTTAAAGACAGCGCGCACCCCGAGAAACGAAGTGTCGCCGCCCCGGAAACTGCATTCAGCATCAAGTCATTATAGTTTTGAACTGTGTGAGCATTTGTGCTTTCTCTCGATTAATTTTGTTAATTTGTTAGCAAGATGTATCCTAAGGTATTAGAAAAGCCTAAGAAGAGAGCTCGTAAGGGTGTTACACTTAGTGTAAAACTTGACGTAATTAAGCGTTTTGATCGTGGTGAACGAAATAAAGATATTGTACGAGCTTTGAACTTGTCTGCGTCTACGGTTCGTACTATTTACACGAAGAAAGAAAGAATCTTGAAAGCTGCTGAAATGTCTTATAACAGAAAAGTGGTTTCTTTTAATCGCCATCCTATAATGGATAAAATGGAAAGTCTATTGCTGGAATGGATTGATGGGTATACAAAGTGTGGTGTGCCATTAAGTTATCTTATTCTTAAAGAGAAATCAGTCAATCTTTTTAATAAGCTGAAACAAGAAGCATTGGATGATGGTGATGAAAGTGCTATAAAACTAGAATTTAAAGGTAGTCATGGGTGGTTTGATCGTTTCTTGAAGCGAGGGCAGCTTCGTAGCTTACAGATTTTGAGGGAAAGTGCCTCGACTATTGCTGAAACTACCAAAGAGTTTCCAAAAGAACTGAAGAAAATAATTACAGAAGGTGGTTATTCATACAAACAAGTTTTTACCTGTAAAGAAACTACAATTTACTGGAAAAAATTGCCAAACAAGACATTTATTTCAATAGAAGAAAAACAGACTAAAGGGCACAAGCCATCAAAGGACAGGTTTACCTTAATGCCTATTATTAATGCCACTGGTGATGCTGTACTTAGGCCTCTACTAGTCTACCATTCAGAAAATCCGAGGGCCCTTAGAGGTATTGATAAGAATACACTTCCGGTTGTGTTTTGTTCACATCCAAGCGGGTGGAACACCCAAGTGATTTTTTCTGAATATATGAGTGGATATGTTAGTACTTTTGTTGAAAAATACTGTAGAGAAAATAACCTTGAGAATAGATGTCTTATGATTATTGATATTTGTGCTGCTCACCCACCTGGTATTGCTGAGTATGGTGGTAACATTCATGTTATATTTTTACCATCCAATACCACTTTGCTGCAACCATGTGACCAAGGCCTAATAGCTACAATTAAGGCTTATTACATGCAAAATATGATGCAATTTATTGTAAATGCCATGGACAGAGAGGGTAACTCTGAAGCATTATTGCGAGAGCTCTGGAAAGATTACAATATAAAATTAGCAATCGCTAATCTTGGAGATGCTCTTGATAGGATAACAGTTTCAATGAGAAACAGTGTTTGGAGCAACCTGTGTCTCGAAGCAATCAGTGATTTTCAAAGTTTTGATCCAACAATGATAAATATGGCAATAGTGAATTTGGCTAAAGAGGCTGGGTTTGTGGACATCAATGAAGAGGATGTTGAAGAGGTTTTGGCATCCCATAATCAAGAACTGACAGATGAAGAGTTGAAAGAGTTGCAAGAGGAAAGGATACGATTTGAAACAGAACGCAATTGTGAACGGCCTGAAAGTGAAGTCATTCAAGAACTGAACGTGAAGCACTTACGTGATATTTTTGCTACTCTTGACAGTGCTGCAATAATTGCAGAAAAGCATGACCTTAATTTTGAAAGAGCACGTAGATTTAGAACAGGTTTGCAGGACGTTTTAAGTGTCTACAAAGAACTGTATGATGGGAAAATCCGTGATGCCAAACGTTTAAGCATGCAGTCATATTTCAAGCCTTCTACATCAGCCACAGCAGATGATGAACCTCATCATTTGACATCAAGACAGGCTGACATGGAAGAAGGTTATTTTTGGGTTTGGGAAGGATCAAAGATTTTTCCCGTATAAATTAACAGTAATTCCTTTTTCATTTTATGCCATTTCAGACAATAGGAGAAGCCTGTATTTATCTTCACACACACACACACAGCCATCATTTCATAATTTAGTGAATTTGATCATCACTGAGTGCCTCGAGTTCTTTGGCCTTTTGTTTGATTAAACTTATCCACATTGATACAGATTTGTGATAAAAGAGCCTACTGATGTAGATATAAGATTAAATTTCCAGTTACTGGAATGGTGATGCTCATTATTACTATGTATTTACATAGTAAATGAACAGCTAAATTTAATCATTTTCATTTGGACTAATGCCCTCATCTTTGTATTTATTATCACAATGTTTCAGCCATTGTTCCCTATGGCCTTCTTCAGGTGTCTGTCAATCTGAGTAACCTTCAGGAATGTTGAACTGAACTCTTTATTTAATACTCTTTTTTTTTAATCAATTCACCCCAAGGAAGGCAATAATGTCACTAAGACACAAGGGGCTGCTGTGAGTGAAAGAGAATGAAAAGAATTCAGAAGGAACTGGAAATCCAATTTTAAACAGGAAACAAGGGATAAACCTCTATTCCTGTTCAAAAGATTGCAAGGAGTGTGAACCAGACGATAGGTGAATCTATCTACTCCAATTGAAGAAAAAAATAGTTAATTAAGTTTCAGATTTTAGATGGAGACATTAGAAGTATAGAGTTGAAGTAGACTTTAGAAGGAATTGCAAATCCAATTTCAAACAGGAAACAAGGGATAAAGAAGGAACCAGAAACCCAATCCTAAACTGGAAGCAAGGGTTAAACCTCTACTCCTGTTCAAAAGACTGGCGAGGAGTGTGAACTGGATGCTAGGTGAACATACTACTCCTGTTGAGGAAAAAAAAATAGTTAATTAAATTTCAGAATTTAAGCAGAGATGTTAGAAGTTAAAGTAGACTTTAGAAGGAACCTGAAACCCAATTCTAAACAGGGAACAAAGGATAAACCTCTACTCCTGTTCAAAAGAGCGGGGAGGAGTATGAACCAGATGATAAGTGAACTTATCCATTCTAACAAGAAAAAATATCCTTAAATTTGAGCAGTAGAATGAAAACAATCTATTCTCATAGATTAGATAAATGGTTCAGTTCAAAATTCCCAGAAGGTTACTTAGATCAACAGATACCTGAAGAAGGCTGCCAAGTACAATGACAAAGTGATAATAACAAAAAAGATGAGGATATTATTCTGGATGTAAAAATGCATAAATAATGATAATTCCTCATTCCAGAAATTCAGATAGAAATTTAAATTTCAAACTGAGGCAAAAGAAAGCCTTTTTTTTGAGTGCTAGTAAAGTCTACAGAAATACAAATATAAAATATTTTATGCAATTTTATTAATCATTTATTTATGCTGTCAATATTATTGACATTCTTAGTAGAAATAGTTTAACTTTTATTAGATGGCCACAGAGACGGTGCATAGTACCCCCCACCCTAACCAGGGGGAAAAGACTGATTGGGGGCCCCAAGAAGTGCTTTATGACCCTCGCTATCTTATCAACAGTTGCTTTTTTTTTCTACCTACATTTATATACGTTACAAATTAAACTAGTTATTATTAAAGGATGAAAGATTTTTGTGGATTTTGACATCATTCTGAGATCTTTTTTTTGTCCTATTCCACGAATTTGTTTTACTCATCTTGAAAAAAAAAAAATATAAAATTCATTATTTTTTTATCCATAATGTTGAATGTGCTAAAATTATTCAACTTTTAACAAGAAAAATCTCAAGTTGATGTTAAAAATTGCAACAAAACATTGTTGATTTATTTAAGATGGAATGATTTATTATGACATGTTTCTAATTTATATTTAGATACATTGTTTTTAATTTTAATTTTTCTAGCTGAATTCTTCACCTATATTGCATATGATCGATCCATTATTGTACATAATTAGGTTATAATAAAATTTGTATTTTATATGAATAATACTTTATGAAAATTGAGATCTTGTAGCGTGGGGGAGGAGTGCCCATATTATAGATTCAGGGGGCATATTATAGATTCAGGATGGGCGCATTTCATAGATTTGGGGGGACACGAGGCCCTTTCACAGGCCCTGTATTACAGTGTTCACCATGGTCAGCTACAGATAATTATTTATAGTTGTATAGCTATAGGAAAGCCTAGTATGCATCTTTTTATATGCAATTGTTCTATGAAGGGATGGTAATGTGTCATATATCTTCCAGTTATTACTGTGTGAGCAGACATTTTGGAAAAGTGGTTTGTTCAGGGTCTCATTCACTGATTCTCTTCTCTGTCAACTATTGTGGCATGGCAGAGACAAAATATTTTCTGTTAAGGTATTTAGTGATGAAACAGATTTATACTTTTCCCAAGAGTATTATTGTTAGGTGAACATATTCACCTACTCATATAAGACAGGGTGGAATCAGCAACAGTATTCACTTGACACAGTTGTTTTGTGAGTCACTGATTGGACTACATCTGGTGAACAACCTGGGTTGTGTGTTGAAACATTTAGGGTTCTGCACAAAGCTCAGCCAGCTGAACATTTATGTTTTTTGAAGCTGTTCATATCAAGCTTCATTGACCAACTTTGTGTGGGCAGAAGGAAAACTTTCTTCATTCTCTGTATCTCATGGGTGAGTCATGAGTATAAAATATTTTCCGTTTTATACTTTACATTGATTTATTGTTTTAGTTTATTATTTACCTTGATTTATTGTTTTAGTTATAAATTTAGTTTAGTCGTGACTCCTTGTTCATCCCCATGCACTTTTTCAGCTTCATCATTTATGA